GCGGGGTCGACCATGTGATACCCTACAATACTTCAATATGTTAGAAGCCCCTTTATGTCCAAAGATGAAAGTTTTCGCTTTTGAAATTATGTCACGGAGCACTGCCCAAATATTACCCTCAGCATTTTGACTAGGGACATTTGCTTAATATGTACGCACTCCGTCGGGCTGTTAGTTGTTGTGATCCATTAATATAATCCAATTATCATCCAAAAGGCTAGAATTCTTCCCTGTCCTTAACTCAATTCTCAGGCGTGTCGATTGGCTTCAATTGTGTGATTAGGAAATTTTTTTTCTGTTTTAGGATCATTTGAACCCCTAAATATTTTGCGATCATCTCCAAATGCAAAAGGCCCCTCTGTATCTCTAGATTTAGACTCAGCTATATGTCTTGCTTGTTTACGGTATTTGGCTATATTCGTCAACAAAAGCAGCATAAAAAAGCCAGAAGTTCGCCTTTTGTTTATTTCAAATATGGTGGTGTTTTTCATACCAAAATAGTGGTACATTCAACCCGCTGTCCCAAAACTGTAACTTCATGCGAGATTTCGTGTCCGTTGATTTATATTTGTGACCTTTTTAACGGCTGCAAAATCAGGAACATTTTTAGTTGTTGGTCCATTTCAAACCCTAAATATATTGCGGACATCTTTGGAAACAACCGGCCTAGCGCTTTTGAGCCTAAACCTACCCTTGTGAAAATTTTTGTGAGGATCGGACGATAGTTGCAATATGTATATAATAACCCCAATCTGTGTTGTAGGGTGAAAAAATATTACAAAATGTACACTTCAATATTATAAGTTAACTTGAAAAAATCGCATGCGATAAGAAATATGAGAAAATAAAGAAATGTCACAAAATACTACAAAATCTATATTAACATCATTATTGGCATCTTTTTATGCGACTTTTTTAGATTTTATTCTTTTATGATAAGAGGGCATTCTGAATTGACAAAATTTGTCAAAATCGGTTTAGGCATTTTTGAGATATAAGCATTCTAGCTAACATCCCCTGCCTTTGTGTGTACACATTGTATATATTTCGCTATATATATATCCGATATATTTATTATCTGCATCTATGTAACGGTCAGGATTGTCCTGTTCGTCTATTTGTGATTTCGCCGGTATTAAAAATATTCGCGTTTTAATGGAAACTTTGACTTTTATTTAACACAAAGGTTAGTGTCTATTTCTCCCACTGAATATTAACCGATGATCCTCAAAATTGCTGGATTTTTGCCCAGCCCTAAGCTCTAGCCCCATGCTAACTTCCGCGTCGATTAGTCTATAATTGCGACCTGTAGAGCAACTGCAAAATCAGGGTTTTTTCAGTTTTTGGTCCATTTCAACACCCAAAATATTATGCGATCATCCTCAAAATGTTTCTATTCTGGCTATATCTCCTCCCATTCTAAATTTCGTGAAGATCAGACCATAAGTGCGACCTGTAGAGTGATTACAAATTAACATGGACGGACGAACAGACGGACGGATGCACATACATAGCTAGATCGACTCAGCTCGGCAAGATAGGAAGATCCATATATACTTTCCTATGTGGGAAACCAATATTTCGAGGTGTTACATAGTTTTTGGCCTAATCAAACTTATAGTACCCCCAACACATAGTGTTGTAGGGTATAACTATTAACATGTGTATTTGAAAAGGTGGAAATATGGTGATTAGTTTATATAGCATTACTCCAGAACGGAATGGTCGAGGGATAAACTATATTTATTCCTATGAGAAAATATGGAAACATTAGAATGGATATTGCAGAGTAGCAGTCGTACTAGCATATAAGCGATATCCATTTCTGAATATATACATATTTATAAATAATATATTTAAATTAAAACAATTAAAAAAGTAGTAGGTTCGAACGGGCCAAATTTTTGATATCTCTCACCATGATATATACAAAGTCAAAAAAGGTGCGCACGATAGCTCTTGAAAGGAGTATCCGATTTGGTCCAAAGTTGGTACATCGTAATATTATTGTCAAGCTTAGACCGAGTTCGGAGATGGACAATATCGGCCCACTACTTCTGGTACCTCCCCCACAAAAGGTTGACATTTTCAAAAAATATATTTTCTGCACAGAAAGAGAAACGATAATCCAATGTTGCTCCAACTTTGCAAATCCTAACATTTGCGACAGTGCTAGGTCAGGTGTGATAATCGACAATATTGGTCCACTCAATCAAGTACCTCCAGCACAAAGGGTCAAAAATTTGAATAATTACAACTCTTATAAAATGTGAGGTAAGAGTCCGATTGTCTTCAAGTTTCACACATCCCAACATTTATGTTAATTTAATTGTTACAATTTAATGGTAACCTAAGGTCTGGTGCCAAGATGGAATACATCGGTTCACTACTTCTAGTACCTCCCCCAAAAAAGCTCTAAATTTTCAAAAAACAAAAACATATTTTTTCTGCACAGAAAGAGGAGCAATATTCCGATTCTGCTCCAACTTTGCAAAACCTAACATTTGCGACAGTGCTGGGTCAAGTGTGAAAATCGACAATATTGGTCCACTTCATCAAGTACCTCCCATACAAAGGTTAAAAATTTTGAATAATTACAACTCTTATAAAAGTGATATAAGATTCCGATTATCTTCAAAATTCACACATCGTAATATTTTTATTAACCCAAAGTCTGGTGTTAAGATGGAAGATATCGGTCCACTCCATCTGGTAACCCCGCCCCCACAAAAGGTCAAAATTTTGAATATCCATTAAGCTCATAAAACGCGAAATTAATATCCGATTCAATTTAGACTTGTCATATCTGAATATTTCTAACAACACAGGACCTGTTATAAGAACGATAGAAATCGGATCATTTCCTCTGGTACCTCCCCCACAAAGGGTCAAAGTTTTAATAACCAAAACGTTTATAAAATCCGAAATAAGCACCCGGTTCTCTTTGTATTTCACATATCTCATTATTTCCACTAACAAAAGATCTGTTGTGAGGATGTGATATATCGTTCCACTACTTCTGGTACCTCCCCCACAAAGGCTTAAAATTTTGAATATCCACGAAGCTCATAAAAAGTGAAATTAACATCCGATTCCATTCCACACTTGGTACACCTCACTATTTCCATCAACACAAGATCTGTTATACAGATGATAGAGATCGGAGCATTTATTTTGCTACCTGCACCACATAGGTCCAACTCTCTTCAAATGTCACACATGTAAACATTTTTGCTAATCCAATGTCTGTTGTACAGATGATATATATATGAGAACCTCTTCTTGTACCTCACTCATAAATGGTCACAATTTTACATACATGTATCTGTCATAACTTGCAAAACAAGTCAGCGATTCTTTAGAACTTGCTATACCTATATGTATCTCTCTTTGCCAGAAACCTGAGATGAATATGGAATTTATGATTTTCCATAAATTGGATATAAATGTTCGATTTTCTTGTTACATTGCCCATACCAATATTTATACCCTACAACACTATGTGTTGTGGGTATTATAAGTTTGATTGGACCAAAAATTATGTAACACCTCGAAATATTGGTTTCCCACATAGGAAAGTATATATGGATCTTCCTAGCTTGCGGAGCTGAGTCGATCTAGCTATGTATGTCCGTCCGTCTGTCCATGTTAATTTGTAATCACTCTACAGGTCGCAATTATGGCCCGATCTTCACGAAATTTAGAATGTAGGTGGGGTTTGGACCAGAATAGAACCCTATTGCTTTTGACGCGAAATTTCGCGTGTAGATAGAGTTTAGGGCGGGGAAGAAGCCTACTAATTTGGGTGGTCATCGGATAATATTTAGCGGGTAAAATAGACCATATCTTTTGTATTGAAAAAAATCAAAATTTTTCATTAAACCGTGAATATTTTAAATCCTGGCGAAATCACAAAGCCATCACAAGGTTACTTCTGACCTTTACATTGATGTTATTATCAAACAAATCGGATATATAGCAAAATATGTGCGATATATATGTCTATCAAAGAAGATATGCTTGAAAGATCTCTTATGTGTGGAGAACGTCTGAACTGATTTCGACAGTTCTCATTAATTCAGAATAGTCTCTTGGCAGGAAAGAAAAAACGTCTACAAAAATCGCATAAAAATATTTCTCTAAAGATGAAAATATTGATTTTTTAAAATTTTCTCATATTTTTTCAATTTTGTCATATTTTTGGTATATTTTCATTTTGAATTAAACATTTCGTAATATTTCTACAGCTATTAAAACTAAGTAGTTAGGATATGAGGATATCATATACAGATCTCATTTATGGCGCGATCCTTACGAAATAGAAGCCTACTCTTTTTGGAGATGATCGCCATATATTTAGGGGTTGAAACTGCAAAATTGTCGGCAGGTCGTAATTATCGCCCGATCCTCACGCACATTTGAATGGGGGTTACCGCACATTGCAAAAGCCAAGCAGTTTCGGATAGCCATCCAAAAATATTCAATGTGTGAAGGAGTTTGCCAACTTTTATAGACAAAATATGAAAATGTCCATTCCAGTGACTTTTTGGAGAATTCACAAATACAGGAAAGACGCACTTCCGACTATTTCGTTAACGCTGATTTCGTTGAAGAATATAGTCAAATGTCTGTATCTCATATAGATTCGTTTCAGTCAAAAACCAATAATAAATGTTAATCTTTTGCCACTTCTGAGAGGTTATAGGTCTTTGGGAAATATTGGTTCTAGATCTAGGAAGACCATTTACGTGCAACATCTACCAATAAATTGGAAATGAGCAAATTAGTTTAAGTTGCTGTTATTCAAATTTCAAATATTTATTCAATATTTTTAGTAAGATGGATTTGGGAAATGCCTTACAACCACTCTGTATATTTTTTAAGAACTAACGTTCCTTAGTTCCTAATAACAACATTCATTCTGTTATTTTGTTGGATAGGACCTTTCCTAGACTTAGCAATTTGCCTATTCCTGTTTCTGATCCTATTGACATTCCTGCCCGGCTTAGGTTTTCTAACAGGTTTCTTATTAGCAGGCTTCTTATTGGCTGGTCTTTTATTGGCTGGTTTTTTATTGGCTGGTTTTTTATTAGCCGGTCTCTTATTGGCAGGCTTCTTATTGGCAGCGGGCCTCCTTGTAGTAGTAGCGGGTTTCTTAGTAGTTGCACCACCGGGAGCTGCTGTGGTAGTTTCAGCGGGTGGAGTACCAGCGGGTGGAGTGTCAGCTGGAGGAGTATCAGCGGGTGGAGTATCGGCAGGAGGGGTATCGGCAGGAGGGGTATCAGCTGGAGGAGTATCAGCAGGAGGAGTATCGGCAGGAGGAGTATCGGCAGGAGGGGTATCAGCTGGAGGAGTATCAGCAGGAGGCGTATCAGCAGGAGGCGTATCAGCAGGAGGCGTATCAGCAGGGGGAGTATCAGCTGGTGGCGTACCGTCAGGAGGCGTATCGTCAGGGGACGTATCAACTGCTAGGATATCCCGCGGTATAAGGGAAACCAACAGAATCGCAAACAACAAGTACTTGAGTAACTTCATATTTGTTGTGATAAAGTCTCTTCGATTTCAACGATATTTATACGATTCGGTAATGCCTATATGCCGAATGAAAAAAAAAAACAAATATTTATATTAACTATAGATTCAATTCCGTTTGCCAATATCCCAAAATATAAAAAATTAACAACATAAAAAAATGACAACTTTATTTTGAGTTAATACAGCTGTGAAAGACAACAACAAACATTACTTTTTAGGCCGAGAACTCAATGGCAAGTTCGAAACGGGAGAGGCATCGTAAAATATTTTTAATTAAATAAATATTATACAGAATGCACACAGTATATGAAGCCTCAAGCACACGCGACAAGCCTCAAGCGACTCACCAAAGCGACATTTTTGGTGCCTTTTCAAAAAAATACAAGTGAGCAAAGGCTATGGACGTGCGGGGCCGATCATAGGATACCCTACAACACTACAATACGTTAGAAGCCCTTTTTGTCCAAACCCATTTTGGAAGATTTCGCTTTTGAAATTTTGTCACGGAACACTGCCCAGATATTACCCTTAGCAGGAACATGCGCCCAAAATATGTGGGCTAATATTACATATTTGGTGTACAATTAAAGGCAAATCGGACAAAGATATATATGGGAGATATAGCTATATCTGAACCGATTTCTATTAAAATTTGGCATACTTATTTTCTTACTATTTGGGCTGATATTATACTTTTGGTGCAGAATAAAAATCAAATTCGAACATGTAAAAAACAGTAAGTTCGTCTGGGCCGAACTTTGAATACCCTCCACCATGAGGAACGAATTAGAAAATTCTGAAAAAATAAAATCCATTAAAAATTCTGTTAAAATCTTTAAAATATCTAATATCGGAAGGTGCCGATATATGGGGGATATACGATATTATGTGTATGTAGACAATTACCTTTCAGAGGTTAAAGTGCTCACAAAGAACTCTTCGTGTGGAATTTCAGTCAATTCCATTAAAAAAGTGGCTGAAATCACCAATATACGGAATATCGGTGGTACCATTATATGGGGGCTATAAGATATCGTTGAACTATATAGATAATTCTCTTCCGAGGTATAAAATACCCACAAGGTACTCCTTGTGTGGATTTTCAGACAATTCCGTTGAAAAATGTTGGTAAAATCATCAAAATAACGAATATCGGGGGGTACAGATATATGGGGGCCATACGATATCGTGGACCTATGTAGATAATTATCTTTCAAGGAATAAAGTACCTACAAGGAACTTCTTGTGTGGATTTTCAAGTTCATTCCATTAGAAAATGTGGCTAAAATCATCAAAATACCGAATATCGGGGGGTACCGTTATATGGGGGCTACACGATATCGTGGACCGATATAGCCCATCTTTGAACTTGACCTGCCTGCGGACAAAAGGAGCATCTGTGCAATATTTTAGCTTCCTATCTTAATTCGTTTATACTGTAGCGTGATTACAACAGACGGACGGACATGGCTTAATAGAATATATATATTTTGTTGGGTCTAAAATGATTATTTCGATGAGTTACAAACGGAATAACGAACTTCATATACCTTCCATTCTATGTTTGGTGGAGGGTATAAAAAAGAAAAAGTGAGCAAAGGCTATGGACGTGCGGGGCCGACCATACGATACCCCACAGGCCCATTAGCCCAAAATTTAGGCACTCCGTCGTGCTGTTAGTTGTTGTGGTCCGTTTTACAGCTAAATATAATCCAATGGTCATCTAAAATGCTTGACTTCTTCCCTGCCCTTAACTCTCCTCTGATTCCGTGTCGATTGGTTTGAATTGTGTGATCAGGAGAGTTTTTCTGTGTTTTGCGACCATTCTCGAAAGCAAGAGGCCCCGCTGTATCTCTAAATTTAGACTCAATTATATGAGTTGCTTGACTACGATATATGGCTAAATTCGTCAATGAAATCAGAATAAAAAAACAGAAGTTCGCCTATGGTGTATTTTGGATTTCACCTGTAAATTATTTTCAGCGTTCCGTTAGAGTGGCAATCATTGTATTTTTTCACAAATTTTCAGTGGCCCATTCTACCCGTTGCCCTTAATTCTAACTTCATGTGAGATTTCGTGTCTTTTGGCTTCTATTTTTGAATTTTTCGTGAGGATCGTACGATATTTGCAATCTGTATATAGTAACCCCAACCTGTGTTGTAAGGTGGAAAAAATATTACAAAATATACACTTCAATATTATAAGTCAAATGGAAAAATCGCGTGCGATAAAAAATAAAAAAAAAAATAAAACAATGTCGCAAAATACTACCAAATCTATACCAACATCATTAGTGGCATCTTTTTATGCGATATTTTAGATTTTATACTTTTATGCCTGGAGTGCATTCTGAATTGACAAAATTTGTCAAAATCGGTGCAGCCATTCCTGAGAAATAAGCATTCTAGCTAACATCCTCTTCTTTTGTATATATACATTGTATATATTTTGCTATATATATCCGATATATTTACTATCGGCATCTACGTAACGGTCGGAATTCACCTCTTCGTCTATTTGTGATTTCGCCGGGATTCAAAATTTTCGAGGTTTAATGGAAAGTTTGACTTTCATTTAACACAAATGTTGTGGTCTATTTCACCCACTAAATATTACCCGATGAGCATCAAAATTGGAAGGCTTCCGCTTCGAGTGGTCTATAATTGCGACCTGCAAAATCAGGAAGTTTTTGGTCCATTTCAACCCCTAAATATTATGCGATCATCGAAAATCAATAGACTTCTATTCTGGCCGTAGCCCCACCTCCATTCAAAATTTCGTGAGGATCGGGCCATAACTGCGACCTGTAGAGAGATTACAAATTAACATGGACAGACGGACGGACGGACATACATAGCTAGATCGACTCAGCTCGGCGAGATAGGAAGATCCATATATATATACTTTCCCATGTGGGAAACCAATCAAACTTATAAAACCCCCAACACAAAGTGTTGTAGGGTATAAAAATAAAAAGCAGTAAAGAAAGTCTTAAAGGAACTTATTTATCTTCCTCAATTCGGGCTTACATTACCCATATGGTGCACAATTAACTAGAAATCGGATAATGATATATATGTGAGATATATCCAAATATGTACCGATCTCGATAAAATTTGGCCAATGTTATTTCTGAGCTGTATATATTTCCCCGAGTTTAGCTACTACCAAGTGGATAAAACGTCTGGGCAGGACAAATTCAACAAATCGGATGAACAATATATATGGGAGCTATGGCTATATCTGAACCGATTCTCACCAAATGTAACATACTTGTTTCTAGATCCAGTTTGGTCGTAAGTGCCGAATTTCATCACATGTGGGCTAATATTACACATTTGGTGTACAATTAAAGGCAAATCGGACAAAGATATATATGGGAGACATAGCTATATCTGAACCGATTTCTATTAAAATTTGGAATACTTATTTTCTTACTATTTGGGCTGAACAAGTAAAAAAGCAGTAACAAGTAAAAAAGCAGTAAGTTCGTCCGGGCCGAACTTTGAATACCACCATTTGGAACGAATTAGAAAATTTTCGAAAAATAAAATCCATTAAAAATTCTGTTAAAATCTTTAAAATATCTAATATCGGAAGGTGTCGATATATGAGGGGATATACGATATTATATGTATATAGACAATTACCTTTAAAGTGCTCACAAAGAACTCCTCGTGTGGAATTTCAGTCAATTCCAATGAAAAAAGTGGCTGAAATCACCAATATACCGAATATCGGGGGTACCGTTATATGGGGGCTATACGATATCGTGGACCTATATAGATAATTCTCTTCCGAGGTATAAAATACCCACAAGGTACCTTTTTGTGTGGATTTTCAGACAATTCCGTTGAAAAATGTTGGTAAAAAAATAAGGAATATCGGGGGGTACAGTTATATGGAGACCGTACGATATCGTGGACATATATAGATAATTCTCTTCCAAGGGATAAAGTGGCTCCTTGTGTGGATTATCAGACAATTCCGTTGAAAAATGTGGCTAAAATCATCAAAATACCGAATATCGGGGGTACCGTCATATGGAGGCTATACGATATCGTGGACCTATATAGATAATTCTCTTCCAAGGAATAAAGTACCCTCAAGGAACTTCTTGTGTGGATTTACAGATTCATTCCATTAGAAAATGTGGCTAAAATCATCAAAATACCGAATATCGGGGGGTACCGCTATATGGGGGCTATACGATATCGTGGACCGATATAGCCCATCTTCGAAATTGACCTGCCTGTAGACAAAAGAGGGATCTGTGCAAAATTTTAGCTTCCTATCTTAATTCGTTTAGACTGTAGCGTGATTACAACAGACGGACAGACGGACGGACAGGGCTAAATCGTCTTAGAATTTTTGGCTGATCAAGAATATATATACTTTGTTAGGTTGATGATAAAATGATGATAAAATGATTATTTCGATGAGTTACAAACGGAATGACAAACTTAATATACCCTCCATACTATGTATGGTGGAGGGTATGAAAAGAAAGGAGATATATCTAAATTTTGACCGATTATCTCCAATTTCAATAGGGTTCATCCTTGGGCCAAACAAACAATTTGTGCAAAACTTCATCTGGATCGGGTAGTAAATACGACCTGTACTTTGTTTACAAAAATACATGGACAGACGGATGGACGGACAGACAGACAGACGGACGGACGGACATGCATAAATCGACTCAGAATGTTAACCACCTTATGGTGTAGGGTATAAAATAAAAGCTGTGTTTAAACCGAGGCTTATTTAATAAAGTCACACTGGAGGCGAATTTAAGTCTTAGTCTTCTCTTTACATTTCAATGTTGTACATGTATATTTTGGCCTGAAAAGGAAGGCCTTATTATGTGACCTTGTAAATAGACCTTGGGTTAAAACATATGCAGTCGGCAAGCCTACTTATACTTTTCAAATTGCCGATCTAGCGCTGTCGTCTAGCGTTATTATGATACCTTTTTCAAGTTTGAAGATAGCTCTATCCTCTTGTCTTTTAGACAAGTGGACAGAAATACTTATAGTTGGAATTTTAAAACAAGCTGTTCTTTTTCCAAGGGAGGCATTGCGACAATTAAAACAAATTGTGAAGTTTATAAACGGTTGGAAAATCATAATATGTTCAAAGTTCAAAACGACCATGGCGTGTGTCAAATGAAAAGTTTTTAAGCTTATTTGTAAACAATTAGTCTTTTTTTCTTAATATCAATGTTAGATATGGCTTTTTTGGTCGTATAAATATTTCCAATTTAACAAAACAACATATGTATGAATTTAAATAATTTCTTTTTCAATTTTATATTGACAAAATAATTTAACAATAGAAACACAGTTTGAAAACAGAATGTTTTAACAACTTTCTTACGTCACATTTTAACCAAATAATCTAGGCAAATGCGGAGGCAAGCTAAATACTTTGCCAATGCTAGTTTATATGTTTAACAGGTTTTAATTAAAAATCGAAATCGAAATCGAAATTGTATTTCAAATTAATTTTAATTTTTAATAATTAATTTTTTATCAGTGGTAAAAAATGATAATGTTTACCAGGAACTAAGGCAGGGAGTACTATGGTTTCGAAAGGTGCCAGCGATTCTTATAAGTTCCCTTGGCTTTTAGTGGGTCTCTTACATAAAAAATAATAATTAATAATATTTTAAAATTCCGGGCAAAAATTAGCAAAAAATTGGAGTGGGTGTTTACATTTCCATAAGGACTATACCAACAAATGGGTTGACCTGATAGGAGTACTTTTTTAATTAGTCAATACTATGCGAACGCACTGAATTTTCGCTCAACGGCATATTTAAAGAAATGCTCAATATTGATTTTTTATACCCTCAGCCATCTGTCTGGAGAGGGTATATATCATTTGATACGGTTAAAACGTGCCTACTCGAAAAAACGGTTTTAGACCCTAGGTCTCTTTGGACTAAATCCGGGACATTTGGAGGCGATCTAGCGATGTCCGTCCATTCGTCTGTCTGGCTGGCTGGTGCGTATACTCTAGAAGGGAGTATCCGATTTGGTCCAAACTTGGTATATTGTAATATTTTTGTCAAATTTAGATCGAGTTCGGAGATGGGCAATATTGGTCTACTTCTTCTTGTGCCTCCCCCATAAAAGATCGAGATTTTCAAAAAATATATATATTTGCTGCATAGATAAATAAATAAATAAATCCGGGAAATTTGGAGGCGATCTAGCGATGTCCGTCCATTCGTCTGTCTGGCTGGCTGGTGCGTACGATAACTCTAGAAGGGAGTATCCGATTTGGTCCAAACTTGGTATATTGTAATATTTTTGTCAAATTTAGATCGAGTTCGGAGATGGGCAATATTGGTCTACTTCTTCTTGTGCCTCCCCCATAAAAGATCGAGATTTTCAAAAAATATATATTTGCTGCACAGAAAGAGAAACCTTAATCCAATTTTGCCCCAACTTTGCAAATGCTAATATTTGCGTCAGTCCTAGTTTAGGTGCGAAAATCGACAATATCGGTTCACTACGTCGAGGTCAAAGGGTCAACATTTTTGAAAAATTAGAACTCTTATAAAATGTGATGTAAGAGTCCGATTGTTTTCAAATTTCACACATCCCAATATTTTTAATAACCCAAGGTCTAGTGTTTCTGTACCTCCCTCACAAAATTTTGAAATTTTCGAAAAATATAGTTTTTGCTCCAACATTGCAAATCCTAATATTTGCGTGAGTTCTAGGTCGGTCCACTCCATCAAATACCTCCCCCGATTTTCTCAAACTTTGCAAATCCTAATATTTACCTCTCAGTCAGGTGCAAAAATTGATAATATCAGTGCTCTCCATCAAGTTCCTCTCGCACAAAGGGTCAAAATTTTTATACCTTCCACCATACATAGTATGGTTAAGTTCGTCATTCCGTTTGTAACTCATCGAAATAATCATTTTAGACCCAACAAAGTATATATATTCTTGATCAGCGTTAAATTCTAAGACGAGTTAGCCCTGTCCGTCCGTCTGTCCGTCCGTCTGTTGTAATCGCGCTACAGTCTAAACGAATTAAGATAGGAAGCTAAAATATTGCACAAAAATCTCTTTTGCCTGTAGGCAGGTCAAGTTCGAAGATGGGCTATATCGGTCCACGATATCGTAAAGCTCCCATATAACGGTACCCCTCGATATTCGGTATTTTGATGATGTTAGCCACATTTTTCAATGGAATTGTCTGAAATTCCACACAAGAAGGCCCTAGAGGGTACTTTATACCTCGAAGAGAATTGTCTATATTGGTCCACGATATCGTAAAGCCCCCATATAAGGGTACTCTGCGATATTCGGTATTTTGATGATTTTAGCCACATTTTCTAATGGAATGGTCTGAAAATCCACACAAGAAGTTCCTCATGAGTATTTTATCCCTTGAAAGAGAATTGTCTATATAGGTCCACGATATCGTATAGCCTCGATAGAGCGGTACCCTCCGATATTCGGTATTTTGATGATTTTAGACACATTTTTCAACGGAATTGTCTGAAATTCTGCACAAGGAGTTCTTTGTGAGTACTTTATCCCCTGAAAGAGAGTTGTCTTTATAGATCCACCATATCCTATAGCCCCCATATAACAGTATTCCCGATATTCGGTATTTTGATGATTTCAGCCACATTTTTCAATGAAATTGTCTGAAATTCCACATGAAGAGTTCATTGTGAGTACTTTATCCCTTGGAAGAGAATTATCTGTATAGGTCTACGATATCGTTAGCCCCCCATATAACGGTACCCCCGATATTTGGTATTTTGATGATTTTAGTTACATTTTTCAACGGAATTGTCTGAAATTGTACACAAGAGGTTATTTGTGAGCACTTTACCCCCTGAAAGGTAATTGTCTATATAGGTCCACAATATCGTATATCCCCCCCATATATCGGCACCTTCCGATATTAGATATTTTAACAGAATTTTTAATGGATTTATATTTTTGGAAATTTTTTTATTTGTTCCAAGTGGTGGAGGGTATTCAAAGTTCGGCCCGGCTAAACGTACTGCTTTTTTACTTGTTAATAGTTATAACTCTTATAAAATGTGAAGTAAGAATCCGATTGTCTTTAAATTTCACACATCCCAATGTTTTTATAATCTCAAGATCTGGTATTAAGATGGAATATATTGGTACATTCCTTCTGGTACCTCCCCCACAAAAAGCCGAAATGTTGAGTATACATTAAGCTCATAAAACGGGAAATTAACATTCGATTGCATTTACACTTGCCAAATCGGAATGTTTCCATCAACACAGGATCTGTACCTGCCCTACAAAGGGTCAAAATTTTGAATATCTATGAAGATTATAAAACGCGAAATAAGCATCAGGTTCTCTTTATATTTCACACATCCCATTATTTCGACTGACACAAGATCTGTTGTGAAGATGGGATATATCCGTCCACTCCTTCTGCTACCTCCCCACAAAGTGAAATTAGCATCCAATTCCATTCCAGACTTGATAGATCTCAATATTTATATCAATAACAGATCTGTTAAAACGATGATAGCAATCGGACTATTTCTTTTGCTACATACTCCACATAGGGTTCAAAATTCTGAAAAACAAAACGCTCAAAAAGCGAAATAAGCATCAAACAGATGAAGTATGAAAATGGAATGCTTCGGTCGACTGTACCCGGTACCTCAGGCACATGTTCACATTTCCTAAAAAATGATCACATATGTCATGTAAAGTGAAGGAAGTTACCAACCTCTTTCCAAGTTACCCCATATTTATATCGTATTTACTTAGGTGCAATTTCTTCAGAACCCACTCCACAGAGGGTCAACAGTTCAAATAATCATAACAGACGTCAAAATATGTTTAAATGATCGAACAATGGCTAAGGGTATAAATCTGTCGGCAAAACTAAAGGTTACAATTTTACTTGTTTACTTGAAAATCTAATATTAATAATAAACGTCGAACATTTTTGCACAATTAATGTTCTGCAATTTATTCAATATTTATTTATTTTAATTTTGGATAACAAATTTCACATTGTTATTTTGTTTGACGGGTCCCTTGGACATGGCGACTTGCATATTTCGGTTTCTGAGTCTATTCGAATTCTTGGCCTTAGGTCTCCTTTTATTTGCAGGTTTCTTATTGGCAGGCCTTTTCTTAGCTGGCTTCTTCTTGGCAGGTCTCTTGGCGGCTGGTTTTTTGCCAGCTGGTTTTTTGCCAGCTGGTTTCTTAGCTACAGGCTTTTTGGTAGTAGTAGCAGGTTTCTTAGTGGTAGCTCCTCCTGGGGCTGGGGCGGCAGTTGTGGTCTCTGCTGGTGGTGTACCAGCGGGGGGAGTGTCAGCTGGTGGGGTATCAGCGGGAGGAGTATCAGCGGGTGGAGTGTCAGCTGGGGGAGTATCAGCTGGAGGGGTGTCGGCAGGAGGTGTATCAGCAGGAGGTGTATCAGCAGGAGGTGTATCAGCTGGTGGGGTATCGGCCGGAGGAGTATCAGCAGGAGGGGTATCAGCTGGAGGAGTATCAGCCGGGGGAGTATCAGCCGGAGGCGTATCAGCCGGTGGAGTATCAGCAGCTAGAACTGCAACCAGCAGAATAGCGAACAAAATTAATTGAAATAATTTCATTTTGTTGCGAGTGAATGATTTCTATTCGATTTTCACGGTATTTATATGATTTTAAACTGTCGGCGATAGAAAAATGTTAAGGCCATTTCCCTTTTAAAAGTGAAAGAACAAATATTTGGCTCGGTTTTTCTATTGTTTATTTCTATGGAAAAATAAGAACGGAAACAATAACCAACTGGTGAATCAATACAGATGGGAATCGACAATATATCAATGACAGTTTGTTAGTGCAATTAGCAGTTGGAAGATATCGCTATGAGTTTAGATTTCCGGTGTTTTTCCACCTCACATGCTATTATGTTTCTTATAGAACATTTATATCATGCTTTTGCTGGCATTGAGGTAAATTCTAGAATTATTTAAAAATTAATATTTATTTAGAAAAACTTTTTATCGCGTTATTGTGAAAATATTCGAAAAAATGCGTATTAAAGCATTGGGCATGCAAACATTTTGGCCGCAGACCTTGGATATTCCAACAGGACTCATCACCATTGCACTCAGCACGGTTAGAAAATGAGGGTCCTCGCTAATAATTCGTGCCAAAGGTTACCAATTCGAAGAAATTTAAACTTATTCTAAAATTTGATGCTATTTCCGACATTTTCAGATTTCATTCAATAAAATTAAAAAAAGAAATCATAATTATGCCGTTTGACTTTGTTGCAATTTTTTTATCTCACCCTGTAAATAATTTGTGGGCTCTAGAATGCGTATTTCAGGTAATTACACATGGAGCGACAAACTTAATATACCTTCCATAGTATATATTAGATGTAGGTGCAGGTGAACGGAGGTAGCTGGAAATTTGGAATGTTGGTATCGGGGCCACACCACAAGTGTAGTGCAATATCAGTACCATTTTCCAACCTCAAGTCTTTATCAACATTTCAAATTACCAGCATATTACCATTTTCGATCCGCCCAAAAATTTTTATACCCTACAACACTTTGTGTGGGGGATATTATAAGTTTGATTGAGCCAAAAATTATGTAACACCACGAAATATTGATTTCCCACATAGGAAAGTATATATGAATCTTCCTATCTCGCCGAGCTGAGTCGATCTAGCTATGTATGTCCGTCCGTCTGTCCGTCTGTCCATGTTAATTTGTAATCAATCTACAGGTCGCAATTATGAACCGATCATCGCGAATCGGTCAGAATTGAACCCTATTTCTTTTGGAGATGATCGCATAATACTTAGGGGTTGAAATGGACCAAAAACTGAAAAATTTCCTGATTTTGCAGTTGCTCTACAGGTCACAATTATAGACCAATCGAAGCGAAAGTTAGAGCATGGGGTTAGAGCTTTGGGCTGGGCAGAAGCCTACCAATTTCGATGGTCATCGGGTAATATTTAGTGGTTGAAATAGCCCATAGCATTTGTGATAAATAAACGTCAAATTTTCTATTGAACCGCGAATATTTTTAATGCGGCGAAATAACAAATAGACGAACAGGCCAATTCTGACCGTTACGTAGATGCCGATAGTAAAAATATCGGATATATATAGAGAAATATATACAATGTATATATACAAAGAAAGGGATGTTAGCTAGAATGCTTATATCTCCAGAATGACTGGAGCGAATTTGACAAATTTTGTAAATTTGGAATGCCCCTTTTGGCATAAAAGTATAAAATCGAAAAAAAATCGCATAAAAAGATCCCAATAATGATGTTAATATTGATTTTGTGACATTTTTTTATTTTTTCATATTTTTTATCGCATGCGATTTTTTCAATTTGACTTATAATATTGAAGTGTATATTTTGTTTATTTTTGCACTTTATAACACAGGTTGGGGTTATTGTTTATATACAGATTGCAATTATCGTTCGATCCTCACGAAATTTTTGACAAAGGTAGGGTTAGGCTCCGAAGGGCTAAGTCTATTGTTTTCAAAGATGTCCGCAATATATTTAGGGGTTGAAATGGACCAGCAACTCAAAATGTTCCTGATTTTGCATCCGTTATAAAGGTCACAAATAGAAACCAAAGGACACGAAATCTTGCATGAAGCTAGAATTCAAGACAGCGGGTAGAATGGACTACTACTTTTGTGTAAAAAATACCAACATTACTTACAGGCGCTATCCGAAATATATAAAAGGCGAACTTCTGGCTTTTTTATGCTGATTTCGTTGACGAATATAGCCAAATTGCTTTTGGAGATGATAGCAAAATATTTAGGGGTTCAAATGAATCAAAAACAGAAAAAAATTCCTGATCACACAATTGAAGCCAATCGACACGTCTAAAAAGATAATTAAGCACAGTGAAGAATTCTAGCATTTTGGATGACCATTGGATTATATTTAGCCGTAAAATGGACCACAAAAACTAACAGCACGACGGAGTGCATAAATATTGGGAAAATGTCCCTGGTCAAAATGCTAAGGGTAATATCTGGGCAGTGCTCCGTGACATAATTTCAAAAGCGAAATCTTCCAAAATGGATTTGGACATGAGGGGGCTTCTCACATATTGTAGTATTGTAGGGTATAACATGGTCGGCCCCGCACGACTATAGCCTTTGCTTACTTGTTTTAGTTTTTTTTTTATCCTACACAATATCGAAATTTCTCATTCCAAACTCAAGATTTCAAAATCTATTCCTTCTACAAATATTAAAGTTAGTACCAAACTATTATTTCGATTTAGTACGTACTTTCAAATTCCCCGTTATGTATCACCAAACCCACAAAAGATGATCCTAACGTCAAATTTTACACTTCCAACTCAATCCCTTTTCCAAATCCCAAATTTAGTACCATTTAGTATGTATTTCCAAAACCACCCCGAAATCTCAATCCTACACACTAACAGTGATCCTAATGCCAAAATTTCAGATTTCAAACAGTATATTTTCAAGCAAACCCAATTTAGTACCATTTAGTACATTTCTTATGCTTGCTGAACGCATTCCAAAACCCTATCTTAACCCTGCCCACCAGCAGAAACTCCAATACCAATATTTTAAAATTCGAGATAAAACACGTTTAAGCACAACTAAAATAAACAAGTAAAAAACAAACTTAGGCCCGGAAAAGGAAACATTAGAGCCCATTTTGACCCACATATACCAATTTTTAGACATATTCATGGGAAAATGTGCCAAAAATCATCAAAATTCCGAATATCGGGCAATACGGCTATATGAGGCTATACAAAAACGCGGACCTATACATACAGTGTTTCGCCAAAAGAGCTAGAACCCATTAAGACCAACAAATACCAATTTCTAGACAAATCCGCGAAGAAATGTGGCAAAAAACATCAAAATGCCGAATATCGGGAGGTACCTTTATATGGGGGCTATACCAAAGCGTGGACCTATACATACAATGTCTCGCCACACGAACTGGGACCCATTTTGACCTACAACTACCAATTTTCAGGTAAATTCGTGAAAAAATGTGTCAAAAATCATCAAAATACCGAATATCGGGAGGTACCGTTATATGGGGACCATACCAAAACGTGGACCTATACATACAATGTTTCGCCACACGAACTAGGACCTATTATGACCTAATCCGTGAAAAAATGTGGCATAAATAATCAAAATACCGAATATCAGGAGGTACCGTTATATGGGGCTATACCAAAACGTGGACCGATATATCTCATTTTCAATACCAACCATCCTAGACACAATACAAATTGCTCTGCTAAATTTTGGCACTCTTCGTCAAATAATGTGGGCTGTATCGTGATTTCAACATACAGGCAGACGGACAGACGTTCAATTGACTATTAACGAATATGTAAGGATTTTACAAACGAAATGACAAAGTTAATATACCTTCCTTTCCAAGGTGGAGGGTATAAAAATTACGTACCATTTAGTACAGTTGTCACACTTAGTACAAATTTCCAAAAACAACTACTTATATAAACACTACTTCCCAAATTTAATTTTTATTCACAAAATAACTAAAGGTAAAGGTCCGAGTTTCCACAAATCCTGGCTTATCTTATCCCAACCCACCAACCTTGAACCTTATGCAAAATTTCAAGATCGATTGAATATCGCCCCATAGTAAAAAAGACCAATTAATAAAATTTAACTCTGAAACGATTTTTCAAATAATCGTTTTTTTTTGTCGATTTATTGGAAATGATTTTAAATCATTTAATTTTGAATAACAAGCCTTACGTTGTTACTTTGATTTACAGGTCCTCTGGACCTGGCCACTTGCATATTACTGTTTCTAAATCTATTCGAATTCTTGGCCTTAGGTCTCTTTTTATTGGCACCCTTCTTTTTTCCCTTCTTATTCTTTTTTGGCTTCTTCTTCTTATTCTTATTCTTATTCTTATTCTTATTCTTCTTCTTCTTATTCTTTTTTGCGGCTTTCTTTTTACCAGCGGGTTTCTTAGCTGCAGGTTTTTTGTTGGCAGTTGCAGGTTTCTTAGTGGTTGCTCCACCGGCTGGGGCGGCAGTTGTACTCTCTGCTGGTGGGGTATCAGCGGGAGGAGTGTCAGCTGGTGGGGTATCGTCGGTAGGAGTATCTGCCGGGGGAGTATCAGCCGGAGGAGTATCAGCCGGTGGAGTATCAGCCGGAGGAGTATCAGCGGGTGGTGTATCAGCCGGAGGAGTCTCTTCTGGTGGAGTTTCTTCTGGTGGGGTCTCTTCTGGTGGAGTATCTTCCGGTGGGGTCTCTTCTGGTGGAGTATCTTCTGGTTGAGTCTCCTCTGGAGTCGTAGCCAGAACTGCAACCAGCAGAATGGCAAGCAACAGAAATTTAAACAATTTCATCTTGTTTGTGAGTGAATGCTTGAATTCTTTTCGGTTTCTTCGATATTTATATGATTTTAGAGTATCAGCGGCAAAAATATTATAAGGTCATCTCTGAATAGAATTTCAAGAAAATAGTAAGTTTTTATACTTTCATTATTGTCTTCGTCGTATAGAAAAAATGAATATAAATAAATAAGAATGTTTGAAAACAACATATATCTGTTATATCAATACAGGTGCAGATGAACTACTAAAGAAGACCTTGTGTAGATATAAATATTCAAGCTATTATTGCAAACTCGTATTTTCAGAAGGTGCTAAGATTAAATATAAAACATTATTTTTAAATTTTTAAACTTTGGACAGACTAAAACCAGGGGAAAACTTGGTGAGGATTGGTGGCTCTGTCTGAAAACATGATATTACCTGCTTTACCCTCGGTTAAACAATACCATATTTCTTTGCTTATAAACAAATGTTGTTTTTATAACAAAATTATCATGGGGTTAAGCCTAACTATTTTGCAACAACAAAATAATTATAGTGTCCCAAACAAATCGCCAACAATGTTCCATTTTGATGATTTGTATCTCTATTCTGTACTATTGTATTAGAGATATTTTGAGTGGTTTCCACATATATAGGGTGAGATAAAAAAACTGCAACAAAGTCAAACACCATAATTTTTACTTTTTTTAAATTTTATTGAATGAAAGCAAAAATGTCGGAAATAGCATCAAATTTTAGAATAAATTTAGATTTGTTCGAATAGGTCACCTTTGACACGAATTATGGCATTCAAACGGCCAATGAAACCGTCACACGCTGGCCGAATGTTGCTCTGCGGTATTTTGGCCCATTCCCGGCGAAGCGCTTGCTTGAGGTGATTGACTTTTTGGTATTTTTTAGTGCCAACCTGGCTTTTCAAAATGCTCCAGAAACAATAGTCCAAATTGGTATCCGGATATCTTGGTGGCCATTGTGAGCAGGAAATGAAGCGAGGAACCTAATTTTGCAATCATTTTGGGGTGGCGCGTGTTGAGTGCGATGGTGCTGAGTCCTGCTGGAAGATCCAAGGTCTGCGGCCAAAATGTTTGCCTGCCCAAGGCTTTAATATACCCTCCAGAATATTTTCGCGATACTATTCGGCATTTATTCTGATGCCCGGTCGATTAATACGAGCGGAGAGCGACCATCGGCTGTTATGGCGGAACACACCATCACCATGGCCGGCGCTTGAGTTCTGGTGGCCAACCGAATATTGGCCAAATTCCCCGGGTCAAAAACCTAAGGGTAACATCTGGACTGGGCTCTTTGACATTATTTTAAAAACAAAATCTTCCAAAATGGATTTGGACAAAAGGGGACTTTGAACATATTGTAGTGTTGTAGGGTATCACATGGTCGGCTCCGGCTATAGCCATTGCTTACCTTTTTAAATCTGATGACGGAAAAATAAGAAGGTAATACCCGGTTATTTGACCCGAAAAAACTCCGGTTTTTATACGGTTTTTGAGGATCTTCATAAAATCACGTTCTGAGTCGATTTATGCATGTCAGTCCGTGTGTCCGTCCGTCCGACTGATGTGACATTTTCCAAACAATATTTGTTTGGTCCAAGGCCGAACCCTATTGAAATTGGTGAGAATCGGTTCAAATTTAGATATAGCTCCCATATATACTTTCAACCGATTGCAGGTTAATTGTGCACCAAATAGCTAATATAATTTTAAATGGCCTGAATTTTGGTACATCCGACCGAATTCAATCTAGAAGAAAGTACATCAAATTTGTAAAAAATCGGTTCAGATATAACTATAGCTACCTTACATATGTTTCATTCGATTTGGTCTTTAAGTGCCTTACATTCGTAATATGCATTGGACAACATTGAGATTTGGTACCAGATATCTTATAGAGCTCATTAATACCTTTGCTAAATTTTATCGAGATCGGTTCAGATTTGGATATAGCTCTCATATATATTTTCAACCGATTTCGGGTTTATTGCGCACCAAATGGCCAATATCAATACAAGTGACCTGAATTTTGGCACATCCGACCGAATTAAGCGTATAAGATTTTGGTGAAAATCGGTTCAGATATAGCTATAGCTCCCATATATTTGCTTCATCCGAGTTGGTGTTAAAGTCCCTCACATGCGCAATATACACACCTCAAAAACAAATTTAGATATAGCTTACATATATATCTTCGTCCGATTTGCCTTTAATTGTGCACCAAACGTCTATTATTTGCCCAAATGGGATGAAATTTGCACAATAAACCCGATATTGGTTGAAGATATTTGGGAGCTATAACCAAATCTGATCCGATCTTAATGAAATTTGGCAGAGAGATTTCTGGGCTGTATGTGATTTTTGGAACCAAATATCATATATATGTAAGCTATATCTAAATTTTTACCGATTATCTCCAATTTCAATAGGGTTGGTCCTTGAGCCAAACAAATGATTTGTGCAAAATGTCATCTCAATCGGATAATAAATGCGACCTGCATTTTGTTCACAAGAACACATGGACAGACGGACTGACATGCATAAATCAACTCAGAAAGTGATTCTATGGAGATCCTCAAAAGTAACTATGGGTCTATCTCGCTTCCTTCTCCATCTTACATGTTACAAACAAATGCACAAAGATGTAATAGACTTGCCACTATGTGGTGTAGGTTATAAAAACCCATCGTACGATCATTTGTAGGTAGGTATATCCGCAAGCTTTCTAATGATACGCATTACATATAAGTTTTGTATAGCCAAATGAAACCAGAATTTTGTATCCGAATTTTCGGGCCGAACAATCGGGTATTTCCCGCACGAATGAAGCATTTTGCCGAATTTCCTTATCGGTATCATGCACTCTATAGCAATGCAATTTGGTGTGAAAGGTAAAAATTCCTCCGTCAAATTTTGTGAAAATCGATTAGGAAATGGACATGCCTCCCATATATTAGTTCCCCTTGAAACCAAATTATGCCATGATACTCATTCAAATAGAGTTAATGGTTGGTTGGTCCCAATAGAAATTATTTTCTTACGGGAGCTCTACTAAATATGCCTACTGGTGTAGGGTACTTCCAATGAATAAATTTTGAATATTTTTACGAAATTTATATTTTATTTATTAAAAATTATCATTTTAAGTATGGATAACTAATCTTAAGATGCTAGTTTGTTTAACAGGGCCATTGGTTTTGGCAACTTGTACATTTCTGTTTCGAATCCTATTAACATTCTTGGCCTGTGGTCTTCTCTTATTGGCGGGTTTCTTCTGGGCTGGCCTTTTATTTGCTGGCTTTCTATTGACAGGTTTTTTAGCTGCAGGCTTTTTGGCAACTGGTTTCTTAGTTGCAGGCCTCCGGGTTGCAGTTGTGGGTTTTTTAGTTGTTGCTCTGACTGGGGCGGTTGTTGTAGTCTCTGCTGGAGGAGTATCGGCTGGAGGAGTGTCAGCGGGTGGTGTGTCTGCAGGAGGATTATCAGCTGGGGAAGTATCAGCTGGAGGAGTATCAGCTGGGGGAGTATCAGCTGGAGGTGTATCAGCTGGAGGAGTATCGGCAGGAGGTGTATCAGCGGGAGGAGTATCAGCAGGAGGTGTATCTGCAGGAGGCGTATCAGCAGGAGGTGTATCTGCTGGTGGTGTATCAGCAGCCAGGACTACAACCAACAGAATGGCAAACAATAAAAATTTAAATAATTTCATTTTGTTGTGAATGAATGAAATCTTTTCGATTTTCTGAATAGTTGAATACAGCTTGATTCGGTATTTATATGATTTTTGCGTGTCAACGACATTCATGTTATAAGGTCATTTCTCGTACAATACAATAGAAATACAATAGAAAACAAGATTTAAGCCTTATGCTAATACAGCTGGCAATATAAAAAATAACATTGACGTTAGTAAGTTAGGCCAGCAAAGAAGTTTACAATGACACAATTGCAAAAAAAAATATGTGATGATGATTACCGTTATTATCATTACTAGTTTTAAATTTTATATTACCATTAGCATGCTCAAAAAAGTAGCGGTTTAAGAACCCAAGTCTCTTTGGACAAAGTACTTGTCAGCACATTTGCAGTCGATCTAACGGTGTCCTTCCGTCTATTTCTCGGTCTGGCTCGTAATATTATTATCAAATTTAGGTCGAGTTTGTAGATGGATAATATCGGTCCAATAATTTTGGTACATTCTTCACAAAATTTCAAAGCTCTATCCTAAATGTTGCGAAATATATCTCAAAATATAGAGGTCCCCTTGTCTATGGTAAAGACTATATAATAACATTTACGCCGTTTAGCCTAAGAACTCCAAACTCTTTTGGGATTTTGAGTACTATCAAGTCAACTTGAAAATTTTCACTACTCACTATATCTATTATACATTTGGAACGAATTTGGCAATTCTCAAAAACAATAAAATCCGTTAAAAATTCTGCTAAAATCTTAGAAACGACGACGACATGGACCTGCATAGGTAATTTTTGTCATAATCCATTACATTATTCAAATGTGAAACTTAGAAAAAAAATCGGTGAATAATGTAGCTAACGTAATCAAAATACCGAATATCGGGATGTACCCTTATACGGCGGCTATACGAAGACGTCGACCTACATGGCCCATTTTGTGTCTTAGGCTGCAGTATCCACTACGAACTTCAAATACCAAATCTGAAAGAATTCCGATGAATATTTTCGCTAAAATCATCAAAATACCGAATATTGGGAGGTATCGTTACATGGGGGATATACGAAGACGTGGACCTACTTGGCCCATTTTCTGTCTTAGGCTGTAGTATCCATTACGAGCTTCAAATTTGAAACTATTCCGGTGAATATTGTCTCTAAAATCATCAAAATACCGAATATCGGGAGGTTATATGGGGGCTATACGAAGACGTGGACCTACATGACCCATTTGTAATACCAAAAGTCCTGAAGATATAATACACATATAGTCGACATAGAATTTTATGCTGATCATATATATATATATATATATATATATATATATATATATATATATAAAATATATATATATTGTGGGGTCTAAAATGTATTTTTCGAGGAGTTACAAAACAGAATGACAAACTTAATATACCCTCCATACTATGGTGGAGGCTATAAAAATCACACAAAAGTTGTGGTCCATTTTAACCGCTAAATATAATTCAAGGGTCGTCCAAAATACAACACTTCTGCGCTGTCCCAAACCTTGACCACAGGCAAAATTCTGTGTCGATTAGTTTTTAATTGTTACCTGTCCAACCTCTGCAAAATTAGGAAAGATTAATTTGTTCGTCCATTTGAACCCCTAACTATACAGCTTGAAAAACAATAGGCTTTAATTCCGACCCTAACTCTATCCCCATGCCAAATTTCTTGAAAATCGGATGATAATTGCGACTTAAATATAATACTCCCATAACCAAGTGTTGCAAGATGAAAAGATATTACCAAACCTAAAATTCATTATTGTAGGTCAAATATGAAAAAATCTCTTGCGATAATAAATATAACATAAAATAAAAAAATATATATTCGCTTCTTTATTGGAATATTTTCACGCGATTTTCTTTGATTTTATCCTTTTCTTGCAAAAGGCTATTTCGAATTTGAGGGAATTGTCAAAATCCGTCCAGCCGTTCTTGAGTTATAAGCGGTCTGACTAACATCCCCGTCGTTGATGTATGAGAATGTATATATTTTGCTATATATGCGACATCTCGGATATGAGCATCAATGTAACGGTCTGTAACAATGATATTTTCGTGATATTTGTGATTTCGCCAGGATTAAAAATATTCACGATTAAGTGGAAATTTTCATATTTTTATACCCTCCACCTTGGAAAGGAGGGCATATTAACTTTGTCATTCCGTTTGTAACATCCTTAAATATTCGTCGTAGACCACATAAAGTATATATATTAATAATCAGCATAAAATTCTATTTCGATTTAACGATGTCCGTCTGTCTGTCTGTTGAAATTTCGACACAGCTTACTTTATTTGACTTTGAGCGCCAAAATTAACCAAAACAATTTGCATTGTGTCTAGGATGATTGGTATTGAAAATAAGATATATCGGTCTACGTTTTGGTATAGTCCCCATATAACGCTACCTGCCGATATTCGGTATTTTGATGATTTTTTCCATATTTTTTTTCACGAATTTGTCTGAAAATTGGTATTTGTAGGTCATAATGGGTTCTTGCTCCTTTGGCGAAACACTGCAGGTATAGGTCCACGATTTTTATAGCCCCATATAGCCGTACTTCCCGATATTCTGTATTTTGATGATTTTGGTATTTGTGAGTCATAATGGGTTCTAATGTTTGCTTTACCCCAATGTGGAGGGTATTAAAAGTTTGGCCTGGTCGAACTTAATTTTTATACCCTACACCACAAGGTGGTCAGGGTATTATGTCTTTGTGGATTTGTTTGTAACAGGCAAAAGGAAACGAGATAGACCCATAGTTCCTTTTGATGATCTGCATAGAATCACATTCTGAGTCGATTTATGCATGTCCGTCCGTCTGTCTGTCCGTCTGTCTGTCCGTCCGTACGTCTGTCCATGTATTTTTGTAAACAAAGTATAGTTCGCATTTATCCTATCTAGATTAAATTTTGCACAGATCATTTGTTTGGCCCAAGGACGAACCCTATTGAAAATGGAGACAATCGGTCAAAATTTAGATATATCTCTTATCCGATTTGCCTTTTATTGTGCACCAAACGTGTAATATCAGCCCGAATAGTATGGAACTTTGCACATACAACCAAATTAGTCCTGAAAATAAGTGTGCCAAATTTGATCGAAATCGGTTCAGATATAGCTATAGCTCCCATATATATTGTTCATCCGATTTGTTATTTTACTCCCCCGCAGCCGTAATATGCACTTTGTAACAACAATATTTGCGGAAATGTAGCAAATACAGCTCAGAAATACGTTTGCTAAATTTTATCGAGATCGGTTCAGATTTGAATACAGCTCCCATATATAACTTCGTCCGATTTACCTTTTATTGAGCACCAAATATCTAATATTTGTCCAAATGGGATGGAATTTGGCACTTACGGCAGAATTAAACCTAGAAGCTAGTATGTCAAATTTAGTGAAGATCGGTTCAGATATGGCTATATCTCCCATATATATTGTTCATCCGACTTGTTATATTTGTTACCCACAGCAGTAATATGCATATTTAGTCCTTTGAACTTTAAATTATAACTATAATCATAGCATGTATGATTGAATTCCCCCATAAAAACTTTTAATTGTTATGCAGAGCTCTACTAAATTAGCAAAGTGGTGTAGGGTATCATAAAGTCGGCCCCGCCCGACTTTAAGACTTTCTTTACTGGTTTTTACTTGTTTATATAAAAGTTATGGTCAATTTTACCCCATAGATATAGCCTAATGACCAAAAAAAAAAAAAAAATATATATATATATTAGGCTCCTAACCAGCTCTAAATTCTGGCCTCGTGCTAAATTCCACGTCCATCGGTTTATAATTGCGACCTATAGAGCATCTGCAAAGTCAGCAAATGCTTAAATTTTTTGTTCATTTCAACCCCTAAATATTATGCGATCATCTTCAAAAACAATTGGCTTCTATTCTGCCCCTAGCCTCATATCCATGCTAAATTTCGTGAGTTGCAGGCCATAATCAACACATCCATCCCCGTAAAGAAGTACAGCCCCATTTGAAGTATTAGTCACATTTGTTTCAACGGCATTGGGCGGAGACCACAAACTAATGTGAAACAAAACTAGGATCGTGCGTTAGCTGTTTAAACCAGCGTTTCCAAAAAGATAATAGCTAAAATATTACCCATATTTTCAATTATAGATCCTTCTCTTTTTTTTGCTTCTGCCTGTAGATTTTACAAAATTCAACCTTGATTTTGGATGATTTGATATTTATTTTATCAATACATCAAGCAAGTAATTGACAAGGCCATCTGTGAAGAATGCTTGCTAACCCATTGATATTTTGCTTTTAGCTTCTCAAAATTATACCTGGAAACATTTCCGCTTTCACTTATCAACGGAAAATAACCCATCTAAAAACGACCTTCAACTCATAAAAACATAAACGTTTTAATAAAACAAAATATAAGGTCAGAAATTGCGAATAAACAAAATGATTTTTGGTTAGTAAACAGTTCAAAAATATTTTCTCATTTTAAAATATTTATATAAATATGGAGAACAATTAATAGGTTTCATTTCAAAATGAAGTTTGCAAAATATTTAATACTTGTATTTTTCTTTGTTGGAGTTTTAGCAGAGGATACGGCCACTGCTCAAAAACCAGCCGAAGACAAACCTCCAACAGATGCAATTCCAGGAGACACACCTCCTACCGATACTCAATCAGACGTTGCAAATCCCGATGAATCTGCTGCACCACAACTCCCGGATCAAACTTCTCCACCGCAACTATCAGTTTCGACCACAACTGCTGCACCAGCTAGATCTACAACAAAGAAGCCGGCTAGAAAACAGTTGGTGAAAAAGAAACCGGCGAACAAAAAATTTGTTTATAAAAAACCAGCGATTAAGAGGCAACCAAATAGGAAGCAAGCTAACAGAAAACCTGCGGCAAATAAGAAAGCTCCGGCAAAGAAATCGAATGTAATTAGAGCAATAAGTAAGCAAGTGGCTCATACAAACGGTGCTCCGGTCAAACAATCGAATATTGTACATCTGGTTATTAGAACTAAGTAAGTTAAGATATTAGTTAGTTGGTAGAAGTAGGATTAGTTGTAAGGGATTTATTTTTGTTTTGTTATATATTATATTGTTATTCTGATTAAAAAATAAACTGAAAATGATTTTTTTACATTGGTGATGAGTTCTATAAGCCATAATAAGCAGTAAAATGGCTGTAAGTTCGGACGGGCCGATCTTTGAATACCCTCCACCATTTGGAACGAATTTGGCAATTCTCAAAAACAATAAAATCCGTCGAAAATTATGTTAAAATCTTAAAAATACCGAATGTAGCTGTTATATTAGGGTCTATACGATGACATGGACCTGCATAGGTAAATTTTATCATAAGCCATTAAAATATGCAAATGCGAAACTTAAAAAAATCCGTAATAATTTAGCTAAAATCATCAAAAATTCCGAATATCGGGAGGTACAGTTATATGAGGGCTATACGAAGACGTGGACCTGCACTAACAATTTGCTGTCCTAGGCTGTAGTATCCATTACGAACTTCAAATACCAAATTTGAAACAATTCCGGCAAATAATGTCGCTAAAATCAGTAAAATACCGAATATCGGGTGGTACCGTTATATGAGGGCTACACGAAGACGTGGACCTGCACAGACAATCTTCTATCTTAGGCTGTAGTATCTATTTCGGACTTCAAATAATAATGACGCTAAAATCATCAAAATACCGAATATCGGGAGGTACCATTATAAGGGGGAGGTACCATTATAAGGGGCACATACCAGCACAGACAATTTTCTATCATAGGCTGTAGTATCCATTACGAGTTTCAAGTACCAAATTTGATGATATTTTCCACAGGTCATTTGTTTGACGCAAGGACGAACTCTATTGAAATTGGAGATGATCGGTCAAAACTTATATCAGCCCAAATAATGTGGAATTTTACACACACAAGCCAAATTAAGCCTGGAAATAAGTAAGCCATATTTGATCGAACTCAGTTCAGATATAGCTATAGCTGCCATGTATGTTATTCATTCAATTTCATATTTTTATCCTCCGTAGCCGTAATATGTTCTCTGTAACAACAATACTTGGGGTAATATATCAAATACAACTCAGGAATACCTTTGCCAGATATAATCGAGATCGATTCAGATTTGGATATAGCTCCCAAATATACCTTCGTCCGATTCGCCTTTTATTGTGCACCAAACGGGTATTATTGGCCCAAATGGGATAGATTTTAGCACGACCAAATTGAGCCTAGAAACAAGTATGCCAAATTTGGAAAATCGGTTCAGATATAGCTATAGCTCCCATAAATATTTTTCATTCGTTTTGTTATACTTTTTTTTGTTACATAAAGCTCTACTAAATATGAAAAGGGGTGTAGGGTATCACAAAGTCGGCCCGCCTGTCTTTTAGACTTTCTTTACTAGTTATTGGATTATGTTAAAGGATGTTAGGCTCTGTGCCGGTGGACCCTACTCGTGTATCAAAATGTTAATTTAATATTTAAAATAGAGCAAATGTGGACGTACCTTTATATGGGAGGTATTATTTGTATTCAGAATTCAATTCCCAAAAAAAATTTGCCAATCGCTCAAATCGGGAATAAAGTACTATGGGAGAAATATCAAAACCATGTTCAATGTCGAAAATTTTTAACACGAATGTTAATTTTCATTCGAATCGATTGAAAAAATATGATAAAAACACACACCTCCTCTTGTACAGGGTGAGATGAAAAAACTGCAACCAACTTCAGACTGCTATCATTTCAAGTCATTCGTCCTACAGCTGTTTAAAATTTTTCCAGTGATAGCTCATTATATTGTTTACAATCATTTTGATAAGAATTTTCCAGAAAAAAAGTTATTCGTGATAGTGTGATTCCGTTATCTTTGCCTGGAAAAACAACAACATCAGCAGAAATGGTTCGAAAAATGACTTGATCGAAACCCGCGTCTCAGTGGCCGAAAAATGGATTTTGAGCTGAACATATCGCAATATTCCGAATATAGAAAAATGAATCGCGAATGACCATTGAAATTCCATAAAGTGCAAGAACTTACCACGCTACAGAAAAGAAAATAGACTCAAAAGACCTAAAGAGTTGTTTCGCTTGGCCGAACTTGGTGGACTGCCGAATTTGGTTTTCTCCGCTCTGATGAGAAAACATTCGTTGTCCATCAGTTTGGAAACAAACAAAATGATCGTGTTTACTTGCCAAAGAGGTCAGCTGAAAATGTGCACCTTCGGTTGGCCACCAGAACTCAGGCGCCGATGTTGGTGATGGTGTGGGTCGACATAATAGCCGAAGGTCGCTCTCCGCACGTATTAGTCGACTGTGGCATCAGAATAAATTCCCAATATTATCGCGAGAATATTCTGGAGGGTGTATTATATATATTATATAGCCTTAGGCATGAAAACATTTTGGCCGCAGACCTTGGATATGTCAACAAGACTAAGCTCCATTGCATTCAGCACGCGCCACCCAATAATGCTTACAAAATGAGGTTCCTCGCGTTTTGCCGAGAATGGGCAGAGCAACATTCCGACAGCGTGTGACGGTTTCATTGGCCGTTTGTAGGCCATAATTCGTGCCACAGGTGACCAATTCGAACAAATCTATACTTATTGTAGAATTTTATGCTATTTACGACATTTAGAAAAAAATGTAAAAATAATGGCGTTTGATTTGTTTTAGTATTTTATCTCACCCTGTATGTGGACCACTTTATATAAATTTTTAATAATCATAACTCCTATAGAATGCGAAATGATTCCCGGATATTCTTTCATCAAATTGTATTTATATGTTTTTTATTTTTATTTTTTTATACCGCTCTAACTTAAAACTTCTAAAAAGAGATTGCAGCTATTTTAAATATGGGGTGAAGTATCAAAAATTCAATTTTACATAAATTTAAAACGGTTTGATGTCTTCGAAAAACCATTTATTCACTTAGACAAACGTTTTTCTTTGCACACCCAAAAGTGATAATATCCTCCGTTCCCATCAGTCATGGAAAATCAATTAATCTTTTTTAAACAATGAAAGAACTTTTGAACTTCTTCTCTTCCGTGAAGGAATGAGACAAAATGTACAAGATATACAGTATTTTAGGCATGGTATACATACACATGTATGTACATAAAGCATATTTTGGGGATGTTATGAAAATATGGCTAAAAGGTGTTGCCAATTCATGAGACAATTGATTGTACATTTACATTTTGCAGATAATAAATGGCGCTGATAAAGGTTGAAATTAAATGATAATTTTTGTTTTTTTTTTCAATTTTTATGAGGACCGCATCAGTCTGCCCAGCTGGTAATTTTATACAAGAAATAAGTAAGCAAAGGCAATAGTCATTAAAGGCCGACCAAGTGATACCCCACAACACTACAATTGGATCGAAGTTCCCTTATGGCCAAATCCATTTTGGAAGATTCCGTTTTTGAAATAATGTCAAAAATAATGCTTCTGTCCTTAACTCTTTTCTGATGTGAAATTCCATGTCGATTAGTTTTCAATTGTGGTCTTTAGAACGACTACAAAATAAAAAAAAAACAAATTTTTTGGTCCATTTGAACTTCTAAATGTACATCTTAAGATAGGCTTTAATACTGATAGGCTTTAATACTGACCCTAACCCTACTCCTATGAAAAATTTCGGACGATAATTGCGACATGCATATAATATCCTCAAAACGTAGTGTTGCGGCAGATAAAAATTTAAAAAAAAGTACAATTCAACATTATAAGTCAAATTGAAATAATCGCATGCGATAAAAAATATGAAAAAAATTGAAAAAAATGGAACATAAGATATTTTCTTTTTTATTGCAATATTTTTCCGCGAATTTCTTATATTTTATCCGTTTCTGACAACATACCATTTAGAATTGATGGGAATTGCGAAAATCGGCCTATTGGTTCTTGACTCATAAGCAGAATAAATAAGATCTATTCTTTTATTATACCCTCCACCATAGTATGGAGGGTATATTAAGTTTGTCATTCCGTTTGTAACACCTCGAAATATACTTTTTAGACCCTACAAAGTATATATATTCTTGATCAGCATAAAATTTTATGTCGATTTATCAATGTCCGTCCGTCTGTCCGTTTGTGGAAATCACTCTAGCTTCCGAACGAAATGAAGTAGGTTGATAAAATTTTACTCAAATGTGTACTATGTCTGCAAGACTTTGAAAATGGGCCATGTAGGTCCACTTATTCGAATAGCCCCCATATAACGGCACCCCCCGATATTCGGTATTCTGATGATTTTAGCGACATTATTTAACGGAATTGTTTCAAATTTGGTATTTGAAGTTCGTAATGGATACTACATCCTACGACAAAAATTGTCTGTGCAAGTTCACGTTTTACAACTCCCATGGTTCCTCCCTATATCCGGAATTTTGATGATTTTAGCTACATTATAAACAGATTTTTTTTTCAAGTTTCGCATTTGAATATTGTAATAGCTTGCGACAAAAGTTGCCTATGCAGGTCCACGTCGTCGTACAGACCCTAGTATACGGCTACATTCGGTATTTTTAAGATTTCAACAGAATTTTTAACGGATTTTATTTTTTTGAAAATTGCCAAATTTGTACCAAAGTTCGACCCGGCCGAACTTACAGCTTTTTTACTTGTTTTTTTTTTTATATATATTGTACCTATTTCACGTTTTCCTATTTCCGATTTCTTGGGTATCAGCATCACTTCACTGCTCAGAATTGACCTTTTCGTCTATTTGTGATTTGGCTGGGATTAAAAATATTCGCGGTGTAGTGGAAATTTTCTTAATTCTTTACATAAAAGTTAGGGTCTATTCTACCCGCTAAATTTTTCCGATGGCCGCTCAAATTGGTAAGCTTCTGCCCGGTCGAAAACTCAAACTCCATGTAAATTTCCGCGTCGATTGGTTCATAATTGTGGCTTAAAGAGCAACTGCAAAATCAGGAAATTTTTCTGTTTTTTGGTCCATTTCTTTCATCTCCAAAAACAATAG